TGCCGTCATGAAGGCTTGATAAGGGATTAAAGGCGTTCTAGCCCCAATTATAATACCACCCCAAAAGGACAGTGATTTCCCGCCTTGATGAACCGTTCCAGTTACCCTTCTTTGCCTTTCAGAGTCTCCAGGTCTTCTCCAAACACGGACACGTCGGTTATCTGGATGAGTTCTGATTCGCAATTCGCCAACAAAAAGGCAGTTTTGCCAAATGTTTTCCTTTTCGTCTTCTTCGTTTTGCCGGTGCCTAGCCCACTATAATCTCCGTCGCTGACGTTTCCGTGAATTTAAAGGTGCTCGCCAAGACTACGCGGTCGCGGGCTACCAGTAACCTGATGTAGCGCTTTTGAGCAGCTGTCAAAACAGTTGGGCGACCGCTGCGGGGTCGATCAGCTAAATTACCCATGCCGTGGTACCTCTGCAACGTGCTTATTACACAGTATTGGGATATGGTAACTCTGCGTGCTATTTCTCTCGTAGAATAGCCTTCTTCCCTCAAAGTTACAATTCATGCTCGTAAAACATCTGATAATCCTCGTCGCATTTTTTAAATCGGAACTTTCCGTGAAAGATATTTTAAATTCGATAATATTGACGAAGTCAGATTTCTGAATGAGTGTCAGCTTGGATTGCATGTCTTTTTATATGGAAAAACAATCGAATTATTCTACTGTTTTACGTTCTTATGCTAATTTTAAAATTTAGAATCTTATCAGAAAAAAGCATGACAAAGAAGTCTTCTGTAACACAAAAAACAAACTATTTTTCAAAGTGATCGCATACTTTTTTAGATGTAAGCACACGCAAGCTTACAAACTTTCACATTTATAATATTTGTAGGTACTAGCATACCATAAGTACGATGTGATAGGTAGCGACGGGAAAAAATAAGTAAATGAAAACAAAAGCATAACGTCGCTAAACAAGGACTTTAACTAGAAAGACACCGCTAAACAAAATTCATATTATACTTACCTAATGTTATGGAAATGTTATTTATCGCCTTTTTACTTCTACTGTGTACTTGAATTAAGAGTCTTGGACTAAAGGACCCTTAATCGAGTAGGGCTTAATAAGATAAAAGTGTTATTATTGAAACTTAAGTGTAGAAGGAGCCATTTTAAGGATCCAGGACCAGCCTACAGCAAAACATCCAATTTCATGATAAAAAAAACCTAATCAATTTAATAATAATACCCTTTGCGAGGAAGGGATTTTTCCACGCAAAGGGCTTCTCATCATATAGCCACAATTTTCACTGCTCGATACACACATCGAGTATGTATTTATTGTGTATTATGAATTTAACTTAAAGAACATTGTCATTCACGCACGTTTCACTACCGCAGAGCCGAAAATTTTCATGAATTTTAAGTTCTTAGAACGCCACATGGTTTCAGAATCTTTTATAGAGGATTCATAGCATGGATATAGAAAAAGTCTTGTACGCAACTCCGCCTCGCGTTTAACCCACATTCGTGTTTTCATACCTAATTATAAACAGTTGCAGACAAGACTTTATCTACATCCATGCTATGAATTCTCTATAGAAGATTCTGAAACCATGGGGCGTTTTAAGAACTTCAAATTCAAACCCCTAATTATACAAATAGGAGAGTATTTCTATCGTAGGTATATAAATATTATCCTAGAAAATATAAAACGTTACTTTGTTATCCATACTTTCTTCGTAATATTTCCCTTGGAACGCAATTGGGTTGAATTAAGAAAATATATTGAAACAATGTAATCGGTTGAGTTAGGAATACTATGAATGGGATCTGTAAGGGTTTAGGATGAGACGTCATAGGTTGAATACGGAACAACCCAACAGTTGCATAAATAACTATTAAGTGTCTATTTTGCTTTTATTATTATTATTATTATTCAAAGGATAGTAGTTTACAACTTGAATAAATGTATACAGAGTAGTTCACTGCTTAAAATAAGCAATGTCACCTCACTATACGCTACATACCTTATTACATCTCCTTAAGGACCACATACAATTCCTTAACTATAGTAACTGTAATTAACAATGTTTATTCCGTATAAAATAATCACAACAGTAGTGTTTTGGATGAAGATTTTTGGGGCGCTTGTCTGGGGCGGCAACGCTACCTTTTTGTGGTGTTGTGTTTCTTACGGTGAGTTAGGTTCCAGGGCTTCACGGGGTAGGGAATTGGGTTAGGGTAGGCAACAGTGCGAGTGATATTTATGGTATCAGAAGCGTCTATAGGCTATGGTGACTGCTTACCATCAGGCGGGCCATATGCTGGTTTGCCACCCTTCTAGGTTAGGCTTCGTTTTTTTTTTTGGTAACGTGACAACGTCTTATAATTCGTTGGAGCCGGCTGTATGCACGGAAGAACATGACTCATACGGCGTTACCTCACTCTGAAGCGTTCCATTTAAGGCTTGAAGTGCAAGCGAGAGCGCGCAACGAGCGAAAAAGAGGCACAATCGGCCTCCGCGTTCGGCAGCGTTCGACATCTGTCTCTCTCCTACTTGAGTGAGCGATGCGTCCGCGTGGACAGCTGCTATACAATAATACATTTATATGTTTTCGTCAAGTATGAAGTTGGTGAAAAGTGCACATTCATACTTGTAAGAACTATGTAAGTACATTATAAAAAACCTTGTCACGTTCAACTATCGTCAGTAAACCGACTTTTAAGATAACAGATTTTATAATTAAAATGCAGGAGCTTTATAGTGAAACCAAGTTTGTGACGATCTGCGATATTTTTCAGTCTGGATATTAATTTAAAGTCTGGCATAATTTCAAAGGTTAGCTTTCACTTGAAAGTTCAAATATTCACAAAAAATAAATTATCACTATTACTCTCGTTAACATTTCTACGGTAATTAAGGCAGTTGACACAGCAAGGTCAGGGTTGCTCTACCGTCTAGATTTGATACATTAAAGTCGCAAAAGAGTTTTAACTTAATTAAAAACACCAACATCACGGACTTGACCTGAGGTCTTATCTTACTAAATTTTATATTTTTAAGGTCACGGCTCGCTTGTACTACTTACAAGCTGGCGAAATGTTTGAAAACGAAAGCAACTCAGTACTTAGTAATAATTAAACTATAATATTCTTTTCATCCCACCACCTCGGAAAGTGTAATTTTGCGCTTCGAAATCTGGCTGGAAAATTCTATTTTATTCGCTTGAGCGGCAAAGTAGATTTGAATTTAGAACATCACATATAATGAGTACTCAATATAATTGTAAATTCAAAACGTCATTAAACCTATTTAATGTAACCTCTATGGTGCCAAATTTATGATTAGAACTTTTTAAATTGTGAAAAAATTTAAATTTGGAACCTTCTTGGTTTCTTTGTTTTATTTGCGTGCTTCGCGCCATTCTAGTTTTTCACGTTTTATTGCTTAAATATTTTGTCATTATAAATTGTTTTCTTTTTCATTTTGTCATTTCCTCGCTGAGGTGGGATGAAAAGTTACGTATTGCACTCGAGTGGAAAGATTTTTCACTTTGTGCTCGTTTGTTTCCCTCGCTGACGCTCAGGATTCTAATTTAGAATCACTCGCTGCGCTCGTGATTCAACTTTAGAATCCTTCGCTTGCTCGGTCATCCAAATCGAGCACGCGGTTAAAAAGGAACTTTCCACTCTTGTATAATAAATAACTATTAGCGGGCGCCTGCGACTTCGTCCACGTTAACTTATTTTTTTTAAGATCCCACGAGAACCTAACATTTTTCCGAGATAAAAAGTATCTTATGTTTCAATCTAAGTCATAAACTATATGCGTGCCAAATTTACAAACTTACAAACTTTCAAATTTATAATAGCAAACCGATACAAAAACAATTACGAGAATTATCTAGTCTTTACTATTCCCAACATCACTAAATGATTTGATAAACAATTGTTAGCAGCCTAACACATTCCAACTATCGACTGAAGCGGTAAGAACCATTTGCGAAGCTTTAGAGATATCCTGGTTTCCTGGAAAATCGGAATATGGGATATCAATGAAAGGGAATGTTCTCGTTGTCGGGGGATTGAGTTTTAATTATATCTGCTACCGTTGCTAAGGCAGCATATTATGTATACACGAAAGATGGCAGAATCAATTATTTTGTTTAGAACACTAAAATGGTTTTCACTGTCATTAATTAATTAAATAAGGCACTAATACTTAATATTGTAATAATCACGTTGATATAGATTTTTAGTAAGTTGGTAGCTTGTGAGTAGATTTTATTTCAGTTAATCTGTTATCTGTTTTTAAACAGGAAGAACGAGAGGACAGAGAAACAAACCAATTATTAGACGTTGAAAAGTAAATGTAGATAATAGTCAGGTCAAAACGTTTATAATAGAGGAATGCATTGAAAATGAAATTCACGGTCTCACAATCGGAAATTTTACTTTCCCTTTTAAAATACGCATTTATATTCACTCACCCTCCATTCTGTGGAATGAACTATAAATAAATCTCATCTGAATGGAGTAAATATTGTAAAGCAAATTGAAAATATGAACAAAATGTCAACGAGCCTGCATAAACCTATATGAGTACAATAAACCTTGTAAAAGTTTGGGAATATAAAAAAAAATCAGCTACTATTTCACTAATATCGAGCCCGATAAAATCGAGCTGAATTGCGGAAGAATTCTTGGAATTCTCCATACAGTTCAGGAAAACTGTATTCAATTATCTCGTGTTAATTAAGTTAATCGAGCACACGCTATTGATAAAACGAGCGTAATGCAGTCTGCGTCGGAATTAAAAGTTGGCGAATTCAGAAACGGAGTGAGATTTATATACCGTAGTGTCGGGCGCAGGTTTGAAGTTTTAATGTGACCGAGTCCGGTAGTGTGGTAATTAGGAGGTGTACGCGTCGCATGCTGCGGCGGCGCGACGGTCGATAGCTGGAGCGGCAGGCGGTGCCGTCCCGGGTCACGCTCGCGCGATCGATAGGAGCGGCGCGGCGCGGCGGCGGCGGCGGCGGGAGAAGACGCCGGGCGGGCATAGCGCGCGCCAGCAGCACCCGCGGGCTCGCCAGTCCGCCACACGACGTCGGCGGCAGAGCGCCTTCGTGCGACCACCCGGCCCCACCGCGCGCGATCCATGCGACCACCGATCGCGCCATGAGCGGCGCCCGCCCCCGCAGCGCGCCGCTGCTTCTCGCGTTCGCCGCCGCATTCTTGCCGCAAGCTAACCATGTTGCGTGAGTATCATGAACGCACATCGCATTTTCAAACTAAAGTCCCCCTGCTCACGTAAAAGTTAACAGTTCTCCGATAAGCTTGAGATGATCGTAAATCTCGGCGAGACTATCCGACGGAATGCGTCAAATTTACGACGTTGAGTCGTACTTTTTTTTCCAGGAATTTAATGGAGCCACGGCACGTTTTATTGATGAAATAAAGTACACGTCTTTTTCATTGAGAAACAACATGTATGTTATAAAACAGTATGATGTTATATAACTTTAAAAAGTTTCATTAGAAAATTATCAAATCGCCAACTCGTGAATTACGTTCATTTTTCATATACTAATTACATATTAATGATAAATGATTTTGAAACGCCATTTAGCTCGGTTTCCTAACCATTTACTAATCTCTAAAAGTACTGTGCGTAGATGGGTATCCGAACGAAAAATGTCGAAACATTCACAAAGAATACACCTTTTTCGCACGTTGAACAAATACAAGCACATTGGTCCCGTTTGTATCGATTTGACAAAGAAACTTGATAAGCTTTTCATTCGTGAATATCCACGTGAAGTCTAGCTAGTAAATGTCGTACTTTGTTGACGTCGTTTTATGATTATTAAGCTTGTCTTTTGGTAGATTAGTTTTGCACTGGGGTTGGGGCTCTACCATGTTTAGTTCCATCATACCTAGTATTATCAACAGTACCTATGAACTAATGCTTACTTGATTCAATTGACAAAATTAACGACTAAATTTTATATATCATGAACATTGTTGCAAAACATAACTGTTGGAACATTGGCTGTAAGAAAAACATGCTAAGCAATTGTGAACCCAAAAACTTTTCATTAAAATTATGCTAATCAGTTACAGATTTCATGGTAAAAACATAAAAACACAACTTTAATTTAACCATACGATCGTCAAGATGTATTTCCACTACAATAACAAAACGCTTAGAACATCGATTAGCAAATTTTCTTCACAGGTTAGCAGTAGTTTTTACTCAATACAAGTTTTTACAAGTTGCCTTTTCATTTCGCCAAAAACCTCCATATTGCAAGAAACTATAGCAACAAAAGCTTTATACTTTTTCGGAGGTTTTGTCTCCCATGCTCGTTTCTAAGCGATTGCGAATGACGTAGGTGAAACGTCGTTTTATAAGCGAGGGCGCCAGTTTATATGTACGTACGGTAACGTCACTTAGTGGAAACTGTACCTTTCATATACTGGGAGTTTTCTTAACAATATTATTGAAAGGTATCAAGTTTAGTATACCTTATGATATTATCGCAATGGTACACATATTTCACCTAAACCATACTCGTAAATACTACGTGGCCAATTTCATTTGCCAATGCGATGAAAATGCTATCGCATCTAATCTTACTCTCTGTAATGAACTGAGAGTGAAATGAAAACAAGATGCGTCAGCTGGTGACTTTATTGCACGTAAAATAGTGACAGAATAAGAAAATATCTTAGTGGGTAAACTGGAAAACGGACACGATGGTTCCTGTGCAGATCTTAGATATAGCCGGTTCCAATTGTGACGTCACTATGTGATATGATTTTTATTTACTCTTTACTGTTGTGGTATTACTTGCGTTCACTCTTTTACATTGCTGAAAGTTTAAATCAAATTTCTAGTAATTAGTTACCAATTATGTCACAATTTCTTGATTATGATACATCGATTGTCGATCAAAACAATCAATTTGAAACGCTTTTTTTAACATTTTTTGTAACTTCGTACTTGACATTTACCTTTGGAGATTAACGGATGTTTCCATCGTAATATCGTTCAAAAACAAAAAAGTTCAATAATTTATCAAGATAGAAGATCAATAGAAAATGAAATTTCAATAACGTGTACTTCAATGATGGCGTACCAGTGAAATTTAAAACGGGAATAATTGGTTGCCAGGTATTTGCCCAATATTCTCCAAACACAGCCATCCCTTAATCTTTCAGTACCTTTAGACTTCTTGGGAAATTGGTAATGGTTCTATATTCTAGAAAACCAAATGGAGTAAATATGTCACATTGAAATAAAAAGTATAATATTGATACTTAAGTACAGAGTTAAAGTTATATCCATCATCCCCTTACCAAAATATCAGCAATTTATTGTATAACGTGTATTTTCTTTGTGATTACATATTTAGTGTGTTGGCTATTTTCCCACATTTTAACCTTTTCATTTTTATTTTAACATATATTTGATGTAGTAACTGATTTGCAGTACAAACTCCGAGTACAAATAAACTTTGTGCATGCGTGACGTGAGCTGCAAATTGAGGAAAGGGGCGCAATACCCAATATATTTTATTTTATACACAACTTTTTTCTGTGATTTTTCCGATATTTCCATAGTTATTACGCTATTCGGCACGTAGACGAATCTAAAAAATCAGATCTCATAAAATCGGTCCAGCCGTTCTTGTGTTATAGGTGTTCTAACTACTTCTTCTTCTAACGATTTTGTTTTATATAGTTTAATAGATAATTATTAATATATATATATAATTATAATAATTAGATAAATATACTGCTTACATGTTGTAACATCATCATCAGCCTATTAATGTCCCCACTGCAGGGGCATAGGCCTTCCCTATGGATGGAATAGGGAAATTGGGCCATGACCCATCACGCAGGCCCAGTGCGGATTGGCGGGTGCTCACGACTGCAGATGCATTCGGGACCAACGGCTTAACGTGCCTTCCAAGCACGGAAGAACTCGAGACAGAAGATTTTTGGTCACCCATCCAATGGGCGACCACTGCGAAAGTTGCTTCACTCTGCCGAACTCGCTGACCACCTACGCCATCGACTTCCTCATGTTGTAACAAAAGAAACATTTAAAAAAAAGTGACATTTCCTTTCAGTCCATTAAATCTAGCCAATCAAGTTAAATGTGTTTCCCAAGGAGTACACTGGACTGTCTGTTAAGACGATAGTCGGTTGTATCATGATTGTAAACATTATCGGCCATAATTGTTATCAACGCTTGCTTACCCTTGAACTTAGTCACATAGTTTCCTTTACATTAGCGAAGTAAGTACCTTTAGCTGCACTTGAGAAACTTGTTCTTGTCTGACTAATTTACGGGTTAGTACTGAACTGATAACTAGTATAACATATTACATACCTGCGGTTATTCTAATTGCATTTTGACTTAGGAATTCTTTAATTGAGTTCTTTGAATTGAATTGAGTTGAGCTGAGCTTGCTGTTTGGTTCAAAGTTAAGAAATGGATAATATTCAAATATTTTGTTGTAAAATCATAGGTTTTGGATGTTACAAAATGTATAGACTACGACGTCTTGTAGGGATGCAACAAAAACGATTGGCATTCATACGTTCTCAGTACTGCTTTCATTTTATATTACATTTTCAAAATCATTATTCCATTCAGTCTGTCGGCAAAGAGAGTAACTGTGGACCCTTTGCGCTTTCTACGGCATAGGAACTTAAGTCAAGTGTTCGATTTGTCAAAGCTGAAGATACCTACTATCAATAGTTAAAAAAATGACAATGTAATGTACTATCTCAGACTGAAGTTGGAACGATATTTTAATGATAATGTAAGCGACGGATACAGCATTGGACTGTTTAAAATTAAAATAAAAAGTAGCTCAACGAATTAAACAGAATTTTATATATTCACAGACCATTTTATTTTATCATAAGGAAGGAGAATAGGTATAAACAATAAGTTAATAAGTCTTAAAAATCATATAAAAAAGTTAAAATATGAAAAGCCTTATAAAAATGAGGCTGGAACAGGATGCAGTGAGGCTATCGGTAACGACCACATGATGCATACATTTTTTATTAATAAAAATTTTGAGTGCGTTTGTCCACAATAACACCTGATGTTAAGCAACAATGTGGTATAAGCAGAAGCACGTAGACTCAAATAATACTTATATAGCTTGCCTTGAAGATCCCTAAATTAATTTATCGGGACATAGAGCAACATGGCCGACAGGGATGCACTCAAGCATTCCATAAGCTTCATGTGGTGATGTAACCAACCAAGTCATTACGTTATACTGTGGTCGCTTACCACCGGGCGACATGTTTACCACTAGTTGCTGCTTGGTGTTTCACTGTTGATAAAGCACACATAGTGATGGAAGAGGGGTGATGACTAACTTGTTTGTCTTTGTCTAGGTAGGTAGATTATCAAAAAGTATTGGACGCGTATTTTTTCTTTTTTCAAGTTATCAAAACATTACACAGATATATTGATTTGAAATGTCGCATGACGTCACGTCTTGGTATTTTTTTTACTTAGGAGTGATGTCACGAACCCTCATTCCCAAATTTAGACGCGTTTTATCTTTGTTATTTTTTGGTTGACTGACAAAATAAATAATAGGTGTCCAATACTTTTTTGATCAACTTAACCATTGGCCGGTCATCAAATAGATGATAAAAATATGTATATATAAACACATATATTATCTCGGGGTCCTTTGTGAGATATGAAATTGAGGAGAAATAAGAAGGATGAACGCAATCTTTTTCCTGTTCTTTATATACATCATTCTAAATATAGGTATGTAAAGTACACTTAAAAATCCAGAATGAATGAGAAAACAATATAATTACTATGAAAAAATCATTTACTTTTTCTACAACACTTAAGTTTCTCCTCCGCGAAGACCTTGCAAACATGTTGTATAAACTCTTCAACTGCCTCTTCGAGTGATGAAATTTGGCAATTCTCGAATTTTTTATCAAGAAGAGTTTTCGGATTTATATAAAATTGTAATTAGTTTGGTTAAAACGCTGGTGAACTTACACAAAGAACAGTCAGAATACGCCAATAAATAATAATCAGTTATACGTTATTCAATATTAATTGCTCATCAGAATTGATTGCAATATGTGGCAAAGTTGATGTTGAATATTTTAAATAGGCTTAGTGGTTTGGTAAATTGACATGAATACTGGTTAGTGCCGTTGCGACCTTGCGAATTGTATTGGCGGATTA